TCCTCCTCCTCCTCCTCCTCCTCCTCCTCCTCATGCTCCGCCCTCCCCAGGCCCCCGAAAACGCAATTGTTGTCATCACGTGGACCTCTGGAGGTTTCGGTCCTCCTGCCCGACGAGCGACGACACACCGCGCGTTGCGCGAGGGGGTCTAGGCCCGGGGGGGCAACAACGAACCCCCCAGACCTGTCCCTGGGCGCGTCCCGCGCGGACTCGCGAGCGGAGCCCAGCGGCGGCAACGGTGAGCCTCCCGAACAGCCAGGGAGGAATGAGAAGGCGGAGGAGGAGGATGGGGAAGAGGGGGAGCAGGAGGACGAGGATGAGGAACATGGGGATGATGCTGATGATGATGATGATGCTGCTGATGATGATGATGATGATGGTGATGATGATGATGCTGATGCTGCTGATGAGGATGATGACCCACGCGTCTAAAAAGGTCAGGAGCTCCTAGCTCGTACTGCCCTTCGGACCGAGGCGTTTCCCTGTGGCCCTGCGGAGGCAACGCGCGGTCTCGTGCCCAAGGCACACCGCAGATTCGCCTGAATGCGAAGAAGCCGCCCCCCGCTCCAGCCGAAGCAAGCGGAAAACGACACCCGAGCAGTCACGGCGACTCAGCCCGCGACGCCCGCGAGCTGGTACGGGGCCTCCAGTGGGACCCCCAGGATGATGGGATGCTGGCCGATGCGAGGGCGGTCCGAGAGGTGGCCCCCGACCCCAGCTCGCGCGCAGACAGGAAGCCTGTGCCGCCGCCAAGGCCGCCGCACTCCGACCAGTCCTCGCGCGCACTCACGTCCGCGCCCAGGCCCAGGCCGACCTCGCGCTTGTACTGGCCCTTCGGGCCAGCCCGCCCTCGAAAAAGCCCCCGTCCTCGTCCAGGTCCAAGCCGAACTTGCGCTTGTGCTTGCCCTTCTGGTCCTCCAGCGCCTGGGAGGGGGCGCTCGGCTCAGGGGACTCGACCACCCACGCGCCGTGGCCCTGAGCGGAGGCTGAGCTCGGTCGAGGGAAACGCCCACCCGCACGTCTGCGGCCTCGAGCACGAGCTCGCCTCCCCCTCCCTTTAGGGTCTGCCCCTGTCTGGGTTCCCCAAGGAAGCTCCCGCGCCCCGACGCCAGCCGCTGGGAGGTGGGCCTCATCCCAGGGGCTTCGACTACCCACGCGTCCGTGGCCCTGGAATGGGGCAGAGCTCGGTCAAGGGCTTCGGCCACCCGCACGTCTGCGGCCTTGCTCCAGAGCTCACCCCCCCATTCTGGGTCTGCCCAGCAGCGGGCTCCCCGAGGACGTCCCCGCGCCCCGACGCCGACGAGGGGCCTCTCTCCCCTTGGGCTGCGGCCACCCGCGCATCCGCGGCCCAGGGTGGAGGCTGGACCTGGTCAAGGGCTTCGGCCACCCGCATGTCTGCGGCCTCGCGCCAAAGTCCGCTGCCCTCCTTTAGGGTCTGCCCCTGTCTGGGCTCCCCGAGGACCGCTGCTGGCCCCAGTAGAAGGAGGCGTTTTCGCAGGCGCCTGAGCTCCCTAGGCCGCACCCGCGGCCTGCCATCCAGAGGTTCCAGCTGCTCGCTGCCGTCCTCCGCGATAGCGTCGACGTAATCCCTGAAGCTGACGGAGGCTGCCGCGAGGTGGCGCCGCGCCCGCGCAGCTCGGACGCCCCCATCTCGGCCGACTCCTTCAGGCGCGAGGTCGGGCGTGACAGCACCAGGGAGGCCGGCAGGAAAAAGGGAGGGCGCCTCCGCCCGCATCGCCCCAGCGGCAGCCTCCTCGGCCTCGCACCTGGGCGCCGCGCGCCCCTCCAGCTGGGGCCCCCGCTGGGCACAGCGCAGCTCCGCAGCTCCCGCCGCCACGATGTCCACGCCCTGCGCCTCAGCGTGGAGGGCGACATTACGCCGCAGCCGCTCGAGACATGTGGGGACCTACCCCCAAGCTTGGCCTGCAGCGCGGGGAGCATCGCCTGCAGTCGCTGCCCAACCTCGCCGTCGCCGATGACGGCGCACAGGGCCTCCTCCGCGGCCTCCAGGCGAAGTCAGGTCTTGGCCAGCTCGCCCGAGAGCCGCCTGACGGCATTATCGGCGGACCACTTCGCCCACTCTCGGCCTGCCATGCGCTGGGCCGCCGATCGCATTGGCGCGCACTCCGCGCCATCCCGTGCCACCATCGCTCCGTGAGCCAAGAGCCCTGCCCCCCTGCCCCCCCAAGACCCTCAGAGGGACGGAGTCCAGGAGCAGGGGGCCTACGGAAGAGGCCTGAGCCAACATGGCTATGGATGATGATGATGATGATGATGATGATGATGATGATGATGATGATGATAATGATGATGCTAATGATGATGATGATGATGATGATGATGATGATGATGATGATGATGATGATGATGATGATGATGATGATGATGATGACGATGATGATGATGATGATGATGATGATGATAATAATGATAATGATGATGATGATGATGATGATGATGATGATGATGATGATGATGATGATGATGATGGTGGTGATGATGATGCTGATGATGATGATAATGATGGTGATGATGATGATGCTGCTGATGGTTATGATGCTGATGATGATGATGATGATGCTGCTGATGGTTATGATGCTGATGATGATGATGATGATGATGATGATGATGATGATGAAGATGAGTATGGAATGTGTGACGAAGAGGAGGAGGACGACGACGAGGAAGAGGAGGAAGATGGGGATGGCTCTCATGCCCGTTCGACGTAAAAAAAGAAGAAGGGGAAGCTGAGGAAGAGGAGGAGGAGAGGAGGAGGAGAGGAGGAAGGCCGTTTGCGGGTAACTCGCATCCCCCGCACGCGAGGGGAGGTCGGCCTCGGCCCGCTGGCCGCGCCGCGGCCCGGCTGGCGCCAACAGCCAAGATGGAACAGCGGCCTCGGCATGGTGCGCTCGTTCGGCGTGCGCAGCCGACCAGTGTGGCAGACGCCAGTTTCTGGGCCCAGCAGGCTCGCCTCGCCCGACGGGCCAAGCAACAAGCAGACAAGCGGGCAGCGAACGACAAGCTACGGGGTCAGAGGAAAAGTGTTCGAAGAACTCCAACTAAAGACAGTTGGCAATCGTGAGGACATTCAGGAAAAATGGCTGCGTCAAAAGCTGGCTCAGTAAAGTGCTGTTGTGCGAGAGGGGCCTGCAGTGGCAGCCGACAGCTGTGTGGAGCGAGAAGGGCTGGCAATGGCAGCAGCGACGGCAGGCAGAGGATACCGTACGTCATCAACTACAGGCGTGGGCGCAGGAGCTGAATGCCAGCAGTCAGCACCTGCAGGTGCGAACCAGCGCGTGCGAGAAATCCTGGCAGGAGGAGGAGAAGGAGGAGGAGGAGGGGGAGGAGGGAAGAGAAGATGAGAGGAGGAGGAGGAGGAGGAGGAGGAGCAGGAGCAGGAACAGGATGATGATTATTCAACATCAACAACTGCAACCAGCGAATATGGACGATTAGAAGAGGTCTGCTACCCCATCTGGGTCCACACTTAGTATGAAACGCTCTTCCACGGATTCTGCTTCTGTGGGCTCTTTGAACTCACGTCCTTGACTAGCAGGTTGGACTTCTTAACCGAGCCCGTGCCCACCAACCGTGCACAATGTGTACAAATACAGGGCGTCGTGCCGTCAGAAACCCTGGCAGGCCGACCACAAGATGGCCCAGACGCTCCATCTCCACAGAATCAGACTCCAGGCGGTCCCCAGGGAAGGCTCCAAGGGGCGGGCGGAGCTGAGACCGAGAGGCCTTCGAACATTGCCCACAACGCCAGCGACCACGAGCGAGAACCCAAATCGTGGCGCTTCGAGGCCTGTGCCTCGGCACGAGGTCCGTCCAGGCGTGGCACCAGGCCCCCAAAGCGTCACCAGCTGCAGGCTCGGAGTGGAAGTGGTGCGAGAAGCGTCCCCTACACAATCGGCTGCAGGCCACGTTATGGCGCTCGCGAGAGGGGGCAGAGGCTGCGCGAGAAGGAGGCAGTGAGAGACGGCAGTGGCAGCTCAGGTAGTGGCTGTGCGAGTAGGGATGGCAGTGGTTGTGCGAGGAGGGACGGCTGTGGCATCTCAGGCATCTTGCGACAGGCGCAGCGCGAGCCCAACGTCATCAACTACGCGGGCGGTCCTGCGAAGCGTGAGCCCGACTACAGCAGCTACGAGAGAGGCGTTGCGAAGCACCAGCCCGACGCCATAAGCTACGAGGGTGGCGTCGCGAAGAACAAGCCCGATGTTATCAGCCACGAGGGGGTTGACGCGAAGCACGAGCCCGACGCCGTAAGCTACGAGGGTGGTGTCACGAAGCACAAGCCCGACGTCAGCAGCTACGAGGGCGGTGTTGGGAAGCACGAGCCCGACGTCACTAGCTACGAGGGAGTCGACGCGAAGCACGAGCCCGTCGCCATTGTACGAGGGCGGTGTCGCGAAGCACGAGCCCGACGCCATTGTGTCGCGAAGCACGAGACCGGCGCCATTGGCTACGAGGGAGGTGTCATGAAGCACCGGCTCGGCTCGACGTCATCGGCTACGATGGAGGCCGCGCGGAGCACGAGGCCGGCACGAGGGTGGTGTTCGAAACACCAGCTAGGGGAACGAAAAGTGACATAAACATAAAAACTCGGAGGTCCGCGCGGATTTCTCGGATCGGCGCTGGGGCCCCGCGGCGGCGCCTCCAGCGCCGCCCCTGGCGCGCTCCGCGCGCCAGGGAGGGGGGTCCAGCGCCGATCCGAGAAATCCGCGCGGACCTCCGAGTTTTTATGTTTATGCCACTTTTTGTTCCACCAATGCAGACGACAACCAGCTGCACAATGTGCGCAAGGCTATCGAAAACGGCGACGCCGAGGGCACTGCCTGCTGGCTGAGGGTCCCGCCGCAGACGAAGGCCCAGAGCCGGCTCGTGTCGTGCGCGTGCAACGTTGCAGCCGAGCCTGGGTGCCGGGACATCGTGCAGCTGCTCATCGCCGGCATCAAGCAGACCCAGAAGACGGAGGTGGAGGGGACGGAGGAGGCCAC